CAGTGTGTGATCAAACCTGTTAACATATTATATAACATACCTTAAGACCTGCCATCTTCTGCCACTTAGATCAGAATAGCCACCTTCGGCAAGCGTGTCTTGTATCTCTGCTCTTATGCTGTCTGGAGTGAAGTCTATGAGTCCTTATTAGCCATCAAACCTCATGTGGGGAAGAGATAGAACAGAATGAGAAGATAATTTACTAACCGACATGTACTCCTTGAACAGGCTGAGGAATCATGGCATCTGTGCCTCGTGGTAAGGCTGGAAATTGAGGGTCACGACGACGGATCTGGTTGAAAATAGAAAAGAAGGCGTCAGTTTGGTCTATCGCGTACCTTTCATCGTAAGTTAAATCCCATACCTGTGATGAAATGGGCAACACAGCCTCTACTCCTTGGATTTTCCTCTTCAGAAAGCTTTGCACTGCTGGCCTAAGGAATGATGCCGCTTTTTGCTTATCATGATACTCCTCCAAAGAAATGCAGTCAAAGAGAGAATTGGGCCCACTTATATCCTCGCGGGTAACTTGGAAGCCATGGACATCCAGCTTGAACTCATCCTGATGCGACCGTATCCCCGTAACGGGAATTCTCGCGTAAGGGACCGATACCTCATTGCACTGCGCACCCGGAGGAAGTGCCCAGTGAGGAATATTTATATGATAGGGCTTGGTTGTTCGATACAAGGGAAGATTTTCCAAGTAGTAAAACGACGCATAGGTACTCAGACGACGCGCGAAAATCCGTCCTTGGGTAATTTGTCTAGGCTAATCATATTTAGCACAGCAAGATAAGGTCAGCACTCGTGTAGCTTACGACAAACGAAGTCAGCGTCATATTGAAGAGCAAACCAAGATGTGATTCCGAAGGAAATTTTGAATGTCTGAGGAGGTGGAAGGAACACTATTTACGCAATTTGACGAGGGCTATACGCAGTAAGTATTGTTGCATGAAATTTAAAACAAACCGAACCCACATTACTAGCTCGTAAATTTAGGAACTCCTACCCTGTCTGTACTCCGTATGCCCAGACGACCTTTCGTTTTTTCGTTTTTTCTTTTTTTCTTTTTTTCGCGTCCACGTCACCTTTCCAAACTGCGTTCCCCGCCTTGGGACGCTACTTGCATTACATTGCCGACCCAAAGAGTGCTGTCCACAACAATGAAATTTAGACCTTAATCATGTCTGATCATCTGCTTCCTGGCCAGCTACAAGTAGCGGCTCTCGCTCTTCACCAGAGCGATTCTCATCCACGCTTTGCCTTAATTCTCCCTTCATGAAACAAGAAACTATGAATGCGGAGAAGAAAATGATCTGGTTCAGATGTCAGCTGTTAGTTCTGAAAGCGAGAGAAAGCTGCGTACCGTCAAAACCATGAAAGGTAGAGGAAGCCATCGTCCGCCAATTTTCAAAGCCCTGCTCCACGTAAACTGTAACATGGGGCTCGCTATTAGATGAGCGATAGCATCAGTGGTTGCCACTAGTGTGTATAGCTTTGCCGTATCGCTCGCTATGGGGATGTATGATGTCAGAACAGCAAGAATTGAAAGCCGCACGCCGAATCCTAGAGCATAGACCATAAGTGCTGTGGGCTGTGTTAGCATTAGTCCAACCATGGGCTTCCTCAATTAAAATTTACCGATAACGACCAAGCTTAACGTAGGGGCAGCTGCCACCATTGCTGCCCCAAGACCGAGTAGGAAGCTGCTGGCCCGAGCAACGCAAATGTTGATGTCAATAATAGACCAGCCCGCTCGTTTCTCTAGGGCGGAAGAGATAGTGGGCAACACGACCAAGAACACTATAATATTCACAGCCGACACAACAGACAGCAGAGTTGCAACCTAGTTTTTGTTAGGCCTTTTCCAATTCATCTGTTCGTTGACTTGCCTTTCCAAGCTCTATCTCGAAGCGAACGGACACATATGGCAGAAGAATCTCGATCAAATTTGCCCGAAATTGGGCAAGGAAAATTGTAACTATTCCAATAGCTACTCGGTAGTCCGCAAGGAACTTGAGATAGACTTTGATGCCACTCAAGTTCAAGGGAGACATCACTCTGTCCTGCGAAGCTCTCGTCGGGAGGGTTTCAGGCATATAATAAAGGATAGGGAATGTGGCTAACAGAGAAACCCCACACACCACATATGGCAGCCAAAGCGAATGTTGGAGACTTCTGTATGTGATCAGAGGTCCAATGAGATCTGTTATCAACACGGCGGAGTACACACGGTAGAACCCGTTGCTCCTGGTTTTTCGTCAGGCATCGAGTGATATAATGGCATAGCTCAGATATTAGGTACCTGTTTGATTCTTCCGACACGTCCGATACCATAGTAAGGCAAATTGCAATGGCGATCGCTGGACCGCCGCCAATAAGTCTAAACAAGGAGGATAGCCAAACGACTTCGATGGGGAATATATCCCATAATGAACCTGCATGACTTGAAAGTAAGTTTTGGTACAGTGTGGACACATTTGTCTTCAACACGAACAGGGGATCTCACATGTCATATAGATCCAGCCCATGCCACAGAGTGTACCAAACACAGCCAGGGCGAAGGTTATACGGCGCCCGTAATGATCGGCAATGTTTCCGATGACAGACCCAAAGAGTATTACTATGTTAGGCTTGTACCGAATTTACTTCGTGAGAGATAATCATAGATTGCCGATGACTCACATGGAAGACTATCAAAAAAGCTCAACAGGCCTCGATAGTACGCCAGCTGTACTTGGACTGAGTTTCCCTTACACATCTTTTCATCTAGAGGGGTGGTTGGATCTAATGATTGATGGAGTCTCTGACAAATGGCGTTTTCAAGGAGACGAATTGTGGGCACCCTTTGCACGCTTTCCTCCAGCTCTAGCAGGATCACCAAGGAGAATATGAACATGAGAGGTGGTAGACGACGAATAAATGCCACAGCCGTCCCATTTTGCTGAGATCGCATGTTTGGGGGGGGGGGGGGGGGGGGGGGCTCTGGTGTAGGTGTAGGTGGAAGCCGGGGAATTAAACTTACGGGGGGGGAAAAAGGGGGGGCTGACTAGCGAGCAGACCGGGGGGCGGACAGGAAAGAGTAC